CCCCCAAAACCCCAAAACCCCAAAACCCCATTATTCCAATACTTTAAGAATTATAATATTTATCTAAGTAAGTTATATGGCTTCCTATATTTCCGGTAATTTAGCTCACCTATATAATGGTCGTGATTAGCTGTCTTGACACTATAAACACCTTGAGAATATTTGAGCTCTATTGAATAGAGATTCACTAATTAATTGCCTTTTGATGTTAAAATATCAATTGCTTTATTTAATATGACTCCAATTTCCTACAATTCTGTTTACCCCTGTTCTAGATTATCCGAAATGTTTGAACATAAGGAAGACGAAGGGATGAAAAAGAATGAGTGGCTAGAAGCTAATAAGATACGATCTCAAAGTTACATTGCAGCTTTAGGATTTTTCTTTAGGCAATCTTGTAAAGATGCTCGAAGGCATAAATGTCAGTACTGACTGGGATTCAGCTCAGTTTTTGTTGTAGTTTTAATGACTCTTATAATCAACACCATTATTGATAAAGGTCCAATTATCTTTTTAAGGCTTGCTGAAGGAAGTGTTGGTGAGATAGATGGCCTCATTCAAAGTTCGGGTTACAGAGAGGGAGACAGGGTATCTTCTGAGCTGGTGAATTTAACACAATTCAACACTCTCAACCCTGACGAATATCTCTTATCACCAAGAAAGAGAATATATACTTCTTATTATATTCCTTTAAACGTAGGTGTCTATCCACTGAGCTCAGAGACTGAACTGCCTACCTACAGTAGTAGTCAGTATTCAGCAATGACTTTTGATGACTCTAGGGATCTTAAAATGGTCACTATTGATACTGACCAAGAAAAGAAAAATAACTGAGGGAAAGATTATAAATTTGACAAACTCAGTCTTGGAGAATGAGTGCTTAATGAAAATTTCGTTAAAGCAGCTAATCTTGAAAAAGGACAACATGTGTTCTTTTCATTAAACATAAATCAAGAGTTACAAATCCTATTCGATCATTTTAAAGTCAGGACTGGGTCTACTCCATCGACTGAGCCTACATTTGAAGAAGCAACAGTTGCTCCTTGAAAATATGTAGGAAGCTTTGCTAGTACAGGAGGAAAGCTACCAAACTCAGACAACACTAAAGCTATCTTCATGGAAAATGAGTATTTCTTTAAATGGGTCGCTCCATATATAAAAGTTCAGGACTCAAGCTCAACAATGGTCCAATTCAGAGAATTCTTGAAAGGAGAATACGCTCGTCCCAATGACTTAGCTGATTATGTGGTGATGAACTTCCCAGACCCCAGGACTGATTATTACAAATATTCTGATTATGATGAGTTACAGAGCAATGTGGTTACATATGTAAACGGAATAGCCGATAAATGGGGCTTCTTTCCCCAACTTATTGATACAGATATTCTAGAAGAACTTCAGACCTTAAGTCTTGGACTGGTATTCTTGGGTATTATTTTCTCTATTGTCGCTGTACTGTTCATTATCATTTCAATCCTGCTAATCTATAGTTTGCTCATGGCAACTGTTGAAGAAAAATCATTTGAAATTGGGATATACAGAATGGTGGGTGTAAACAAGTTCGGCCTAATAACAATGGTGCTCTTAAAAGCATTTTTCTTTGTTATCCCAGCAATTGTTAGCGGCTTCTTATTAAGTATCTTATTTCTTTGGATGATATACACCTTGTTCCTTAACTCTTCAATGGGAGTAAATGATGCTCCTTTTCCAACTTTTACTGCTGTCCTATATGCCCTTGGAGTCGGTTTTATTATCCCAATCTTAAGCTCGCTATATCCAATGAGAGTGGTCTTGTCTAAGACCCTGACAGATGCGTTGAATTACTCTACCTCAAAAACAAAGGCTGTTTTTGTACAGATAATCCACTCGAAAGATTTCGATAAGAAGCCATACATAATTTTTGGAGGAATTTCAGTTGTATACGGACTCTCAGTGTACTATTTCCTGCCACTTTCGCTGATTTCAATGAATTTTGCACTAATGTTGGCTATTTTCTTCATGATCTTGATCGGCATGTTCTGAGGAATGGTCTTGCTAGCACTGAATCTGCAAAGAATCCTAGAAGTATTCTTTGTCTATATATTTCTGTTTTATGAACACACATCAACCAGGATGGTGGTGCTGAAGAACATGATTGCTCATAAACCAAGGAATAGAACAACTATTCTGATCTATGCAATGAGTGTCGGATTTTTAGTCATGATTATTGTTTCATATAATTTGGAAATCCAGAATACAAATGCTATAGCACAACTTGAGGAAGGTCATTATCTATATTTGATGGCTTCAACCTACATTGGGTTCTCTCCTGTTTATATTGAGAGTCGGATCAGTGGCTCTAAAGATAAAATAGAATACCTTGGATATGAGACTCATGAACCTGCTAATTCTGCTTTATCTTTGGACTACAAAAATCTAATCACAAGCGACGATCTGGGACTTATTGAGTTTGAAAGTAGTATTTCAGGAGTTACACCATTTTTTGGCCATACACTAATGAGGCAGTACTTAAAATTGGAAGGACAGAATACCTCAACTTCTTTAGATATCATCGAGCAGTTGTATACTCCGAGAGGAATGCAAGCTGTAGGCATGCCTGCCTATGTACGTAAAAGACTTGGACTAGACCCTAATAATTACAAAGATACTTCGCGTACGACTCTATACACTTCTAACTGGAATGTCTACTTGACTCAGAGAGCTTTATGGAGCACGAAACTATTTCCTGGAAAAGATATGATTGAAAGAGAAAACGATTACGGGTATGATGTTATTGCTAGTTTGCCTGCATTCAAAAAGTTGATTGCTTCTCAGACAGCTGTGAAGAATCAGAGATTTCGTAAAGTAGCAATTAAGCTTAAAAACATAAATAGTGAGGAAGACATTGACGAAATTAAAAATGCCCTAGATCAAAGTGTAGCTCTCACAGCTGCTACTTTTTATGATCATATCAATGATAAAGGAAATTTAGACACTGCTGCTGCTATTCTTGACCTAATTTTTAATGTTATTATTGGCTCAGTAATGTTCCTTTGTTATTTTGCGCTCAGTTCATCCATGACAGCAAACATGATTGAGCAGAAGAAAGAAATCGGTATCCTCAGAGCGATTGGCATGAAAAAGAGAAGAATATACTTCCTGTACATTTATGAATGATTTATTATGATATTCACCGGATGAATGACGGGAATACTGGTGGGAACTTTGATAGGTTGGACAATGATGCTCCAAAGGGTGCTATTCACCAACGTCCCAATACCTTTCTACTTCCCTTGGATGCAAGTAGTTGTAATGTTCTTCCTCTCTATCCTCTGCGCTATTCTGGCCACCATCTTCCCAGCCAGACAAATCCTAAAAAATGAAATCTCGCAGATATTCAGATCTTAACCACAAATAATCAATCTTCAATATTTCATATAAAAATCGGGGTTTTGGGGTTTTGGGGTTTTGGGGTTTTGGGGTTTTGGGG